TATCCCATAAGAACCAGCCTCACTTCAGTGTTGCTTCACTAACAGTTACAAAGTAATTAGTAGAAAAAAAAGAGTAAATTAAAAAAGAGAAGTGGAATGCACTCTTAAAACAAAAACTTCATTCAGCCCGTGCAAAAATAAATGGGAAAACTGTTCATGGAAAAAACATCATCATTATTAGCTCAACACACATTTTTTTTGGCTGCTCTGTTCCTGATGTTTGGGTGCACAGAGCATTTCCTAAGCAAACTCCTTTAGGCTCCTAAATTCAAGTTCCTCACGTAACATATGATTAGGCAAAGTGAATTTGGTGCTAATTAATAAACCATTGTCTTCCAAGAATTCCTTTCTTTGTAAAGCTCATTTCTGAAAATATTGCAGGTCTGAGACTGAACCATTTTATCACATTTCAAACGAAACCATGAGTAAGAAAAGAACGAGAAGGAGAAGCCTCAGAATTTTTAAAGTGGAGTATCAAGAGCTGTGTGCAATCCACGTTGCCTGGAGTACCCAAAAATTTTCAAAGGACGTGCAAAAGACACAAAGGGCTTGGCAATGTCACCAGAGCTGGAAGCTACAAGACCTGTCCCTACAGCTCCTGAGGTTGGATTCATGTGGTTTGGAAAGTGAGATCATTCTGAGATAGCAACTCCTGATACCAGTGAGTGAACACCTCTAATCCCAGCCAGCATCTCCTCAGTCCATAAAATACCCTCAAAGAGGCTAAAAATTAAGTTTCTCATGGTTTATTCTACTCCTACAAAGGTCAAAAAAAAGCCCATAAAAGCAGCTGACATAGATCATTTCATAGCTGCATTGCTGCCTCTGTGAGGGCTTGACTACTTTCAACCCAGCAAGTAAGTGATGGTTTTTTTATAACTCATCACTCCATTGGTGAAATAAAAATATCAGAATATTTCTCAATGGAGTTATGCCCATTCATGCTCTTGAGACAAACAGTGCAGACAGATGGAGGTGTTTGAAATGGATCCCTCAGAGCAGCTCCATAGCTCCCAATATACAGCTTTGAGTTCTTTGGAAGTTTTAGAGGAGCCTATGGAATTAGCATGAGTGAAAAATAGCACCTTATGCTATAAACTTGAAATAGCCATTGGTGCAGTTTTTGGGAGCTGACTGGGCAAGAGCCCTCCTTCCCATTCACAGGATACCAGCCCCAAAGAGCCACATATCCACGGGGTCACTGCCCCTTATTCCACTTCAGCTGCAAACAAACTGCACTCAGAGTGGCTATTTCTGACCCTGGCTCTGCAGCTGAACCCACAGCCAGAGCAGAATCATCACCACAGGATCATGGAATGGTTTGGGTGGGAAGGGACCTTAAAGCTCATCTCATTCCAGCTCCTGCCACGGTTGCTCCAAGCCCCAATGTCCAACCTGGTCTTGGACAGTTCCAGGGATCCAGGAGCAGCCACAGCTTCTCTGGGCATCTTGAGCCAGGGCCTCAGCACCCTCACAGCCAAAAATTCCTTCCTAATATCCGATGCAAACCTACAGCTCATCACCCTGAGTGCACTGAGAGCTTTTGTCACAGCACAGCAGGTGCCGAGTACCCAAAGCATTCTCTCATTCCCCTGGTTTTACAGCACAATTGCAATGAGGAGATGAAACAACTCCAGGAAACAGAGTGACAGATTCATGAATAACTTCCCTAGCTCTGAAGTTCTGTCCTTACAGTTACTGACAGTAGAGCTCTTGAGAGGGAAAGTCCATGCACAGACTCATGTCAGGATGTCCAACATCCATTTAGGTCACAGAATCCAAGTTCAGATTCGTGTTTCCATTTGCCATCCACTCCAGCAGAGAACCACAGAGTCACTGAGGTTGGAAAAGACCTCCAAGGTCACCAAGCCCAACCTGTGACAAACCCAACATTGTCCCCAGCCCAGAGCACTCAGTGTCACATCCAGGAATTGCTGGGACACCTGCAGGGATGGGCACTCCAAACCTCCCTGGGCACTTCCAATTCCTGAGCACCCTTTCCATGGGGAAATTCCTGCTGATGTCCACCCTGAGCCTCCCCTGGCCCAGCCTGAGGCCGTTCCCTCTGCTCCTGTCCCTGCTCCCTGGGAGCAGAGCCCGACCAGGAGCTGGACTCAATGATCTTTGTGGGTCCCTTCCAACTCGGGGAATTCCATGATTCCATCCTCACAGAGTCCAAGGCAATGCAAACAGGACAACGTTTTCCCTCCTGTTCATAAAATGTTCATTTTATACCATCAGGTAGAAACCATCAATCTAATAATTACTGACCTACTTAAAGCCAGCCACAGCCACCTTTTCCTGCAAAGTTAAGATTCAGGTAAGACAAGAAGCATCTGAAAAAAGCACAAAAAAATATATGGGCAGCTGGTTGAAGCCTGTTCATAGTCAGTGAGTGCAGGCAGTGAAAGGAAACAGCAAAAAGCAGTTTGCATCACTGACCACCTTCAGCTGTGTTCACCTACCCCCAAAGCAACTTGAGGAATCATGAAATATTTACAGTAAATTTGTATCAGCTGTTCAGTCTCTTCTCTCTGTTAAACACAATTTGATTTTGAGCTATTTCACTGTTCAGTGTGAAAGAGGAGATGGAAAAAGGATTGCAAGGTCCAATCCTCTGGATAAAGTTCTGGCTAACAGCAGGTTGGGGCATATTTTAATAGGGCTGGCTAAGCAGAAGCAGCATATTCCTACTTGTTTCTGCAAGGAGAACAAAGAGCAGATTTCAGATTTCTGTTGCATCTCCGACTAAACAAGTTAACCATAAATCAGAAATTGTAACAGTAGGGCAGGTGCAGCTACACAAGAGTTACACCCTATTCCCACCCTCCCAAGGGGAGGGCTGGAGGATAACTCAGCTCACAAACAGCTCCCTGTTTGCAACCCATCTCCCCAAAGTTTTTCAGGACCTCAAATGGTGAGCATTTCTCCAGTTTCTCAAGGATGAGCTCAGAGAGCAGCAGAATTCCCCCATTTAACACCCAGCTTCCAGCACCAGCTCAGCAACAGGAGCCATGAGAAAGTGCTGGTACCAGGGGAGGAATTCTCCTCCAATTCCGAGGAGAAAAAGCAGCAGCCCAGGGCACTCACTTTCTCTCCACATCCACATTGTTTTTTTCTAGGTGATGTTACAGCACAAGGATTGTCACAACATCACTTGGTAACACCACAAGGACTCGGTGCTGGAATTTATTTGTGCATATTTAACCAGGGCTGAATGGAGAAAGACATTCTTTTTTCCACTTGCTTCATCCAACTCCTTGTTCAAGCCAACTGCTTACTCTAAAAGTAGCAGAATTACCCAGTTAAGAACAACAATAAAAAAAATCTTAAGGAAATCTACATCACTTCAAACAAAATGCACATTCAGAGACTGTGAAGGCAAAGTCACCTTTGTGTTCCCTCTCACTACTCTGTACTTAGCAACCAAGATTCTTCAACACAGATTTCTATAAAAATGTGCTTTTTAAAGAGACAACCCATCAGTGAGCTCAGAAGAAAAGAAAAATCAAACGATCCTGGCTGCCTTGTTCCTGGCAGGAAAAATGGCAGGATGGATTCTCCGTCCATCTTAGATTGACATAAATAGTGCCGGGGTTTTTCAGTTCCATAAATCCTGCAGCTCAGAAAGAAGACTCTCAAAAACCTTCCAACCTTCCTGCCTGCCTGATTTTATCTCTCTTTTTTTTTTTTTCTTGTCTTATTTTGGGGGAACTTGGATGTGATTTACAGCATTTCCTTTCCAAGCCAACCCAGGGTCGCTGCATCATTTGAATAAGGGAAGCTGAAAGTAGTTAAGGAGCTGAAAAGAAGCTTTTTTCTGGTTTTAATTATACCCTTCTACATCCTGTGTGAAATATCCTTTCCAGCTATATTTCATCCACATGGAGGATTCAGCTAAATGAAGAGGCTCTCCCATACCTTGTTCTTTCCCTTTACTACAGGAGGTTAGGAACAGGCACAGGACAGGAAGGGAAGAATAACAAAAATATGAAATTGAACACATCTCAATTTTAGCAGAGGTGTTTAAACAAAATGAAGTTGGAAGGGGATTTGTATTCAGGGGAAGACTGTGCACAGATTTCTGTCTCAGTCTGGAATTCAACGCTCAACTTAGTGAAATCTCTACTGAGCCCTCAGAAACAGCTTTATTTAGGATATTACTCCAATACAGGGGCTTTCACAGCTTTTAGGTATTCCCCACCTTCCCCAAGAGCAGGGTAACACATCATCCACTCATCCTCAAAGGCTGCAGCCTGTTAACTTCTCACAAGCACCCTCCAAGCTGGTGTTCAGATTGAACTTTCCAGCGGGTTAAAATCAGGCAGAAAGACACTTTGACTCCCTGATTTGTAGCGGGCTGAGAGCAATTAAGCAGTCACATATCTAATGACTTACAGCACATCTTAAAACGTTCCTGTCTGGCCCAACTGCTGGCAACTGAATGAAAGAACAGCGAGTTAATGACGGTGAACCCCGACACCAGGATCAATACCCGAGGGACGCAGAGTGACAGAAAACGACAACATTTCCTTCAGCTTAACACCAGCAACTCCAAACGTTTGCCATCACACCCGTCTAAACAAAACCTAGTCTCACCAAGATGCTTTGCCACTGGACAGCTACTTCTCCTTTCCAACTTTTTCCAGGGGGAACTTTCAAACAGATGCTTTTATCGAGAGATGCAGTTATTTCCCTTCCTAAATCACTGTTTTTCCATGCAGCTGGCGGGACTGTTCTCCCAGCACATGCTTTGAGAAGCAATCAGGGATGGAGGGCTTATATTGCTGCTGTTGATCGGCTTGTGAACCCCTTCTCATTTAAATGACACAAGCTCGTAGAAACTCCATCCATCCTCTCCCTGTGCCCTCAGCTGACCATCACCAACCAACTGCCAGCCTCTGAAGCTGCCATCTACCACCGTGCTAAAGCACGGTTTAAAATGAGAGCCGGAGACACAGCCCGGTGCCATCCCAGCGTGCAAAAAGCCGGATACCCACCTTATGGCAGCCAGGATAGGTTGCCATGGTGTTGAGGGTAGAGGTGCTGGGATTCTTGCTGCTGCTGGCCATGAGACTCTGGATCTGGGTGAGCTCCTGCCTCAGCACCTGCTTCTGGTGGAAGCTGAACGCCGGGTGGTTGGATGCCATGGTGAAGAGCAACAGGAACTCATCCCCCGTGCGGCCCTCGTTGAGCTGCAGCCCGTAGTTGTTGATGACCGAGTCGATGTGGGTGAGGGTGCGGAACAGGACCCCGGCGGCCTCCCGGTGGGCAGAGCCGAGCAGGGCGAGGGACACCAGGAGTTTGCTGCGCACCACCTCGTCCGTCAGGTTGGTGAGGCTGCCCAGGTCGGCGGGGTTGTTGGCCTTGATCTCGGAGTCGCGCAGGGAGTGGTAATCCTTGCGGGCCAGGTCCTCCAGGCAGGCGCCGAGGAAGCGCAGCTCCAGAGGGATGCACAGGTCCAGGAGGCCGCACAGGAACTCCACGCGCTGCGGGGAGGGCAGCTCGGAGAACCAGCGGTACACGCCGTCCCGCTGCAGCCGCGGGCACCGCTTCTCCACCATGGTGCCCCGCGCCGAGCACGCCCCGGCCGGGGCTCGCACACCCGGCCTGGGGCAGCCCCGGGCGGGCAGGGCCGGGCCGGGCCCCGCTGAGGGCGGCGCAGGCCCGAGCGCTGAGGCGCGGCCTGGCCGCGGGGTCCCCGCCCGCCGGCGGCCCCGAGGAGGCCGCTGCGCTCCCGTTCCTCCCTCACGGGGCGGCTCCTCCGTCCCTCCGGCGGGCGCCCGGTGCCTCCATCCCCCGGCCCCGCCGGGGCCGCCCCGCCGCCGCGACCGCGGGAAATAATCCCTCCCGGGCGGAGGGGCACGGAGCGGCGCGCACACCCCGCCGGCCGCTGCGCGCAGGCGGAGGGATCTCACGGTGAGGAGGCTCGGCCGCGAGCGGAGCGGGAGGAACAGGGAGCGACGGGCGCCTTCGCTCCCGGCCTGACCCCGCTGCGGGACACGCCCCCCGCGCCGCTGATTGGCCGAGCCCCCCGCCCGCCCTCGGCGATTGGCTGCGGCCGCGCTTCTCCCCGCCCCCTCCTTCACGCTCGGGGGCGGGGTCTCATGAGCTTGTCAATCCTCCCCGTTCAGCCCCGCCCCTGGCGCTGATTGGTCGAGGAACCCTTAAATAGGAGAGGGGCGGGAACGGGCGCCTTTTGTGTGTGGCCGCCTGCGGGTGCGGCGGGGCTGCGGCCACGGCCGCCGCTGCCCCGGGGGTTTCTGAGGGGCGATAACCCCGCTCAGGGCACGGCTCTGCCTTTCCCTGCTCCCGCTGACCCCGCAGAGTTGACGGGTTTGGGCCTCCTGTCCTCCCCGCAGGCTGGAGAGGAGCCTCGGGTTGCGTCCTGACATCCCAAATCGTGTGTGAGCACCTTCCTCCCTTCTGTCCTTTATGGCCGGTGCATTTCAAGTCTGTCCCCCGGCGCCGAGTGCTGCCCGTGCCCGCTGCTTCCAATGTGTGCGTTAGGTGCCTTTTCCCTGCCTTTTCAGTCACAACGCCTCGTTCCAGCCACGAGGAGCCTTATGGAGTAGAAAAGGGAATGGCTACGATGCTCTCCTTCCTCAGCCGTTGTTTTAGGATCACAAAGAGCCTCGGGGATGCAGCCTGAGCTGCTGCTGGCTGGTGATGCCAAAACCCCCATAAATCTTTTGGCAGCGGCGCTTGCCTGAGCCGCCACCAGCCGAACCCACAGCCAGTTTGGCACCTGACTCCAGATTGTCTTTAAATACAGTGTGGAAACAAAAGAGACACCGAAGACCTCTCAAAACGATCATTTTTTTCGCCCCCCCCTACATTCCCACTCTCCATTCTAATCCGTGATTCTGGCTGACAGCATTGTAGAAATGCACATTTTCTAGCAGGGTTGTCGGCTGCAGATTTGAATGAGGAGCCAAGGGGCGGACACACAATTTCTGTTTTCCGTGGAGTTTGGCTGTGGTAGCCCAGTAGCCAGACTGCACATCAGCAAGATAAATGACACGGGTGAAGATCTTTAACTGGGACAAGCCAGGAATAACATTTTTAAATGCAGCCCCAGGCAGGCAGCAAATAAATCCAAGGCTTGGTTTTTATACGATGGTAATGTTGGAAGATGGACCGTGTGTTTTATTTTCACGAGTGCAACGTTGTTGCGCCGCAGCTAAACAAAAGACCCAGCATAGATGTTTTTAAAGGCAAAACTGTATTTTGTCTCGAGTTGATCTTTATGGGATGTGCAGATGCCCAAATGTGGGCTCTCACAAGAGCTGCGTGACCACTTATGCTGGTATCACAGAAGAGAAAAAGTCTCATTCCTCCGGGGGATGGTTTATTGGAAATCACATTATACACCTCGCTAAGACGAACTGCTGCACCACAAACATTCCAAACGCTGGTAGTTTATCCTTTTTTATTTCCCAGTGGAATATCGTGGGCTATCGACTGCATTTATTGGAGTCCCACTGAAATGCAGGAGTCAGCAGGCAGAGGACACTGACTGGGGCTGCATAATGCCATATATTGTAAACACACACAACCCTGCTTCTGTTCTCCTGCTGTGAGAGGGTCCTTGACACCCCCACAGCGTCTCTGTGTCCTTTCCTTGCAGAGATCCCTCACACAGTGCAAACCATATGTGCTTCCTTTTCCTGCCGTGCCCGGCATTGTCCATGGGAGGAAGGCATGTGTGGAAAACAGAGGAAGTGCTCTCAGTCCCTTAGGAAAAGTCTGCATTGAGTTCTAGCCCTGGCCAGGCTGTTGGCATGGGTGTGATGAGTTCTTTGGTGGCCTTTCTGCTTATATTGATGTCTTTATCCATCCTGAAAGCACATCCTTTATCCACTAATCCATCCTGAAAGCACCACGCTGTGCTCAAAGCCAGGTTTCTGCAGCAAGGTGAAGAAGGTTGAAACTGTCTGCTTGGGAACCAGGTCTAAGACTCAGTCTAAATAAATGTTTGAATGAGAATTTTGTTGCAAAAGAGTGATTCTGTGGTTTATAGCCAGGAATTTTTTGTCTTTGATGCCAGACAGCAAAACAAACCCTAACCTGAAGTGTAATAGATGAACTGGGAGCCTCCTCTCTGGTTAGAAGTGGCTTTGGGTGAAGCCTGAGGAAACCAAAAGGGGCATGGTATATAATTCTGTCACCAAGAATTCCTGGCTGTCCAGGGGCAGAGCCAGGAACTGCTTTCAGGGAGATAAATCAACTGAGTAAGAGCTCGTGTTACCATTTATCCAGGCAGAGGTTTGGGAGTGAAGGTCGTTCTGGGGTGCCTGTGCAGCCTCTGTTCCTCCTACAAGCACAGGACACCAAACTGGCTCCTCATTTCATCCCCAGATCATCCCATTTCCTGCCTGTTCTCCTGAAAATTCTCTTTGTGCACGCTTGAAACAGCTGGGGAAGATTCCTTGCTGGTGTAATCAGTAAGCAATAACTAATTTTCTTCTTTTTGTATTTTCAGAGCATGCAGAGGCTGTTGTTGGATGTTGCAGTCAGCTGAGGACTGAGAGAGGGTCCAATCCTTCAACACTTCAGTTTTATCTGCTGTTGTAATTTTGAGTTCTCCTGTTTGGATTTCCTCAATCCTTTTAAACCAAGGAGCTTGGCTGAAGTGCTTCTTTTCCCTTCAAGCAGCACCTCAGAGCCATTGTAGCCAAATCTTTTATCACATGATTAATTTATTATATCCTAATTATCACAAAGAATTCCTTCCTGTGAGTTTGACTCTGTGCAACATGGAATGACCAAAAGCCTATAAAAATTAACTGAAATAATTGAGTGTGAGGTGGGTGACTGAGTCCAGGGTGAAAGGAGGTTATTCACTTCTGTGTCCTTCCACAGAGACAATAGAAATGAGAATCTCTACCATGGAAAAGGAGGAGATTTGTTTGGGAGGCTGCTGGATAAAAAACCAGTTGAGTTACCCAGATCCATCAAGTGCCCAGTGCTCCCAGCCCACAGAACTCCTCCACAGGGACCTTCTCAGAGCTTTTCCCCATCACATTTTGGAGCCTTTAGGAGGCTGTTCAACACTTGCAAAATCTTCTGCCACTTAATGACAGGCTTGACATTTTAAACCTAAATGTGGCTTAAATCTTAGCACTTCTGCCAGATATCCAACCAGGAGATCCCAAATCTTCTACCAAAGTGACTCACAAAGCCAGAGATGAACCCACTGCTGTCTTGGGTATGAGTCAGGTGTGATGGGCACCTTCCCTCAGGTGGGTTCTGTGCCAAAACAGCTTTTTGGGATAGAATGTTTTCCCAGGATGATCTGAAAGCCCACTCTGTACATGGATGAACATAAAACCTGATGGACCAGCTGGGTGTTCGAAGTGGGATCTCTTTCACCCCAGAGCTGCCTGCTCCTTTGGAGATATTCCTGACTCTGTCACACCTCTCCCAAATATCAGATTTTGCCCTTTTCTGAGCCAGAGATGGGGCAACTGAGAGGCGTTTTAAAAAACTTTTATTCCATTTTCAGTCTCATACGAAAGGTGAGACAATACAGGTGTTATAATTCTCACATTCAGAAGTCAGCTATTTCCTAATTACAATACACTATAAGCATTTCTTGGCTTATGCCAAGAAAGAAATGCCATGAAATAGGACAGATATTGTTGAGAGAGAAATGGAGCTAGGAAAAAAGTTTCAAAGGATGGCCTTGCAAATAAGACTAGATACTTTGGAGAAATAGAACTATGAAAGATATATTGTAATAGAACCCACGAGGGGTGATTTTGGATAATTGGCTTTAAGCCATTTTACAGCGTGATGTGACAAAAGCTGATAGGCTAAGAAATGCTTATAGTGTATTGTAATTAGGAAATAGTTGGCTTCTGATTGTGATGGCGTGAATTATTGCCTCACCTTTCGTATGAGACTGAAAATGGAATAAAAGTTTTTTGAAACGCCTCTCAGTTGCCCCATCTCTGGGCAAAATCCGGCACCGAATTTCCCGATGCTGATCATCCCCTGCCTCTCCGCTCATCCCTTCCTTCCTGCCTCGTTCCAAACCTTCCTCCTCGCTGCCGTTCTGCCCAGCTCTCCCTCTCCACGCCGAAATCCTCAGCCCCTGCGGCTCCACCCTGTCCTTTCCCGATGGATGCGCTGAGTGGCAGGAGCAGGAGCCTTGCGTGTCTCCACTCCGGCCCACGGAAGGGGAAGATAAATATTGCCCTTGCGTGTTCTCTCAACTACTTCTGAGCACACACGGGTTATTTCCTGCCGGCTTTCACGCAGATGCTGGAATTGGAGCTCTCGGGCTTGAAAAAACAAACAAACCCCAGCTTTGAAGCGCAGAGAAAAATACCACGTGGGCGTTGGGAAGAGGAGAGGGAAAAAAAAAAAAACCACCAACCAAAAAACGGGCAGATGTGGGCTCTGCAGCATCCCTTGGAGTTCGATTTTCAGGGATGAAGCCGGGTTTGGTTTGGGCAGGGTGGGGAAGGTGTTGTCCTTGCTGTGACAGCAGCAGGAGCGGGATGGATTTTAGGATGCCAGGGATGAGCGTGTGCCTGCGAGAGTCACTGCCCTCTGC